AGTTGCTTGGGCCCGATCCGTGGATTTTTTGGGTCTCAACACCTTTCATTAGAGCAAACAGTCTCATTAAAATCGCCAATAATGGTCTATGGCAGATTATGAGCAGCGCCAACACCCTTTATGTTTTCATTGTTTTATTTTCATTTCCATAAAAATTATTATTTATTTGATTATTGGTCCACATGGCTCAAATTCAGTGGGTCAACATGGAGCTATGAATGCCACATCATCATTTAACGGAAAACTTAACAGTTAAACTAACAGAGGTATGAAAGTGGTCCTAAAATTAAGGTTTAGGTATGAGACTAGGACCAAAAAAACTTTTTGTAGCAAAGTCTAAATTTCAAAAAACTTTCGGGTAATAGAGTGAAATATACCCTAAAGAGTTTGTTCAATTTCCCATTTGCACTTGCATGCAAATTCTTTCTAAAATAAAATAGTCAAACACAACTCTCTCATGGTCATGGAGGTGTCATTCTCATTCTTTCCCAGCACCCTTATGCCAATAGCATATGATAAGAGATATTTTATTTTGAACTAATTTTTTTAATTTATTTAGAGACTAATTTAAGTTGGGTTATAGGGAGGTGGTGGCTAGCTAGGGTTAGGAGGGGACTGTTGGTAAGGATTGGGGTTGGGAGGAGAATGGGACATAGATGTTTTATTTTATTTTGAAACGACTTTTTATTCTTTATTTTTAAAAGGAATAATTTTTTTTTAATAATTTATGGATTGAATTGCCCCTCAACAAATAATATTAAGTTTTAAAATATTTAAAAAAACTACATAAACCCCCCAAACTCTAGGATCATTTTCAAGTTCATACCCACCTTTAGAGATATTTACGAGTACATACTCAAACTCTCCGAAAAACCTACAAATTACCCCCACCGTCAATCAAACCTTTAGTAAATTTGTTAAATGCTAATGTGGCAAATATGGGCTCCATTTTTTAATGACGTGGACCTCCAAATTAACAAAAAAATCTTTTTTTTTCAAATATTAAAAAAAAATTAAATTATATTTAATTAATTAATTAAAATTGAAAATTAAAAACATAAAAATCCATGACCCTTTCTCTTCCCCACCCAGCCAACAAAAAATTCATTATTCTTACATGTAGGAAAAAAGGTTAAAATTACCACTAAAAACTAAGTGGCACTACCATCTCCGACACCTACCCAGCCTCCACCACTCCGTCACCCACCCAAGCCTCAGCCGCACCATACTCGCACCATCAACTGCATCACATCAAGTTCTCTCTGTCCAATGAGATGATAACACAGAGCCCATCCCACCCAATTCTCTCAGCCCACCCAACTTGTCGAAGGTGAAGAGGCGGATGAGCCTGTGTTAAAAGCAAGGTCTTAAATATCGATAGTTTCGAAAATATCGGTGGTTCAAAAACACGGAAATATCAATGGAAATATCGGGAAAATATCGATATCGATAAAAATTGAATAAAAACCACGAAAATTGTCATAAATACATGGAAATTTTTAATGAAACTTTAGAAGAAGTTTATTTAGTCAATCATCTATTATTTTGACACAAAAAATTGGAAGGAAATGCATTGCATAGTGGGTTCGAGTGATTTAAATTGATTATATTGCGACCTGACAAACTCTGTGACTTAGAAAATCTAGAGTAATTAATGAAAGAGAATTAAACACCCCCTAGTGATTTATTTATCATTTTTAAGTACAATATTTTACACTTTATAAATTGCATTGTAAGATACATGAGTAACCTTATTTCACAAACGTCATTGGACATGGTACATATTCTTATATTTATTATTTATCAAAAATTGAAAAATAATTAAAGATGTAAACCAACTTGATTTTTCATGAAAATTAGGCACTTTACCATGCTTAAAAAATATACAAATTTATAAATAAACCCAATCCTAGACATGTATTTATAAAAAAACCCAAGCACTATTTAAACATAGAAACACACCCAAAATCAACCCCAAAGTCAACTTTTTGGGTGTGTTTATAAATGGGTTTTGAGTGTGTGTAATGATGGGTTTTGGGTGTGTTTATATGTTTAAATAGTGCTTGGGTTTTTTTATAATTTCAACCCCCATTTTGGGTGTTTTAGTGAAACTCCCTAAAAAATAATAGTGATGATTGAAAATTAATTAAGAATATAAATAAATTTATCCAAGGAAGAATTAAATAGTAAATAAAGAAAATAATTATAGAGATATAAGTAATTAAGCAACAATTTGAAGGGAATTTAGTAATGTAAGTACTTATAATGAATAATAAAATAATCAATAACATTAAATGGATTAAATATAAAAGAAATAAATTATATTAAGTAATTAAGTAACTGAACAACAAAATAAAATAATAAGTAATTATGTTAATTTCTATTTTGAGAAACAGCTCGCAAGTATTATAAATACAGATTCCATAGCTTATTATCACAAAGTGATGACTTGCGTGGTGGTTGAGTGGCTGCAGATCTTCGAATTGGGAAGGGGTTTGAACCCCAGCATGCATGAAGTAAGTTTTCTTTAATTTTTGAAAGTTCATATGGCGATATTATCGATATTATCGATAATATCGCGATATATTGACCATTTCAGATTGAATTTGAATGAAAATATCGGTCCTGATATTTCGGCGATATTATCGATAAATTGATGAAATATAAATGGAATGTTGTGAAAATATCGGGAAAAAAAAAAACGATATTATCGCCTAAATATCGGCGATAATATCGAAATTTAATTCCTTGGTTAAAAAAAAGGTATGTCGTAGCTTGTTTGGAAGGTCTTCATCTTGGGTTGGGATCGGTGTTAGTTTTATTGGGCAAGCCATTGGCCCTGTACGACTCTGACGAGCTCTTCTTCTTCTCTTCACCGCGAGACCAAGTTTACCCAGTTGAATTTAACTTGAAACCCATATATGGGTTCTTTGTTTGTTAAAAAGGTTCTTCCTTTTTTTCTTTTCTTTTTTTTAGAACACTCAACCCATATCTGGGTTGTTTCATACTGGCAAAACTTAAGGGATTTTTTTCTCAGTAAAGAGTCCAATTCCATTTTCCATTTTCAGAAAAGAATTTAATTTAATTTTTTTTAATTTATTTAAAAAACAAAAGAATTGTTTATTATATATTTTGGCTAAGAATCCACGTCATCAAAAATAGGGAGTCACATGCCACATCATCAAAAATGGGAAGTCACATTTACTACATCAGCATTTAACATATTCATTAACAGTTTGTATAACGGATGAGGCAATTTATAGGTTTTCCGAGAGTTTGATTATGTACTCGTAAATGTTTCTAAAGTTGGATATGAACTTAAAAATGATCTAATAGTTTATAGGGTTTAATGTAGTTTTTCCTTAAAAAAATTGATAAAAATTGAGAATTGCCCTTAAATTGCTTCAAATTGAAATCACATGGGTAAAAATGATCAAATTAAAACTACATAAACCTTAGTGATAAAAGTGATAAACTATAATGACCAAAAGTTATGTTTTATCCATTTAAAATGACAATAAAGTCCATGGATCTGAATGAAGCCCAAGAAACCAGTGAGTCGAACTCAAGCCCGTAACAATCTTCAAACGTATGTTCCTATAGCGTGGCAACATTACTGATATTTATAAATTTAGGCCAAGTACTTACCAATAAGACGGTTTGGCCGAGTGGTCTAAGGCGCCAGATTTAGGCTCTGGTCCGAAAGGGCGTGGGTTCAAATCCCACAGCCGTCATAACTTTTTTGGTTTTTATCTGGTTATTGTCCATTTAGACGACCCAAAAAAATATTGAACTGAATGCTTAGAATTTTATATGTAATAAGCTAACGATGTCCATGTATGGGTAGGTGTGATTTATGCTTTGTATCTTTGTTTGTTTTTGTTGGTCGAAAACATCTTCCGTTATTATAAAGCCAAACTCTTTTTAAGGATAAAAAAAATAAGGCAGAAGTTAACGGGGTCCAGTCTAATTTTTATCTCTTCTATTATCTGATTATCTGTATTCTATAAAAATAGGATTCATTATTTGATTATTCTTGTAAATTTAATTTTTTTTGATATATATATATATTATGTTAGTTTTAGGATATTTACCCTAAAATAAAATAATATATTAGGTTTTTTGTCTACAAATTAATTATAAAATTTATTGATCTCTCTTCTACTAATTTTCCTTCTTCTAGGTTAGTTTATGATAGTGGCATTAAAAACTCCTAAAATTTTAACCTTTCTTTCTCTTCCTCTTTTGTTTAAAGCTTTGTGAATTTCTTATTTTTCTCCTCTCTTTTTTCATGTATGAGTTGGGTACCTTAATATTTTGATTTATGATTTTTTTTTTTCTATTTCTTCTCTTTGTTGGAATATAAATTATTAAACTTTAAGTCTTTAATAGTGTAGATGATGAAATAACCAATTTAAAAAATGAAATTCATGACAATTATGAAGAGAAGACAAGTTTTATTAAGGGCCCCCTCTCATCTGAAATCTTGGCTCCGCCATTGCTTGCAGACCAATAATCTCAAGTTCGAACCCTCATGACACTTTGATTCCGTGTGTGAGAAAATCCTCCTCTCCCAATATCTCTTGTATATATTTTTTTAAAAAATGAAGCAGAGAAGTGGAAAACTTAAGTAAATATAATAAAAGAATAGCATGTTGGTCCATGGAAAAGAAGTTGGAAAATGAAAAATAATGCGCGCATTCACAAACATGCGTGCTTGTATTGACCAAAAAACAAATGCATGCTTCTAACTGCTAGTGAAAAATAATGCGCGCATTCCACAAACGTGCATGCCATTAACAAAGCAAGAAAGGAAAAAAAAACCAAAAACACAGACATAAGAGAGATTGTCAAATGAGCTAAATGGGCTAGATTGGTCTATAGATTTGGGCTCAGCCCATATTATTTTCCAAGTGCTGTGGTCCATGAAGCCCATACTATGTACTAACCCAACCAATCCAATAGAGACAAAAGAGACGGCAAAAAAAAAGACCGAGCGTGATAGAAACAGAGGGAGAGAGAGAGAGATGGCGGGTGCGTTTTGGGGGACGCGAGTGCTGGAGATAGTGAAGAAGCACGACTCTGGAGGTCTAGTGTGGAAGAGAATAAAGCTGACCACCACCCGTAAAGCCAACGCCAAGAAGCGCCTCCTCCGTGTTTGGCAGGTTCTCTCCTTTCTCTTAAGTTAATAATACCATTTCTGATTTATCCGTCTCTGATTAGGGTTTAGGGTTTTAGTAATACCGCCGATGTCGGAGCTATTTACTTGCTTGAAATCGGAATATTTGATTTTAAAAGTTATGGGTTACGTAATTAGAGGCCACTGGCCAGGCAGTAGAATCCGCCATTGTTTTGTGGATGTGTCTTGTGCTTGAAAGTCGTAATGTGCATAAACCCCAGCATATGCTGAAGGGCTCTTGAGTTTTGGCAATTGAAAAATGAGATTCCCGGTTGGGTTTTCTCAAGCATACTTTTGAGAGAGAAATTACAGGAAAAAGGATTAAGCTTGGTCTTGATAGATGGCCATACAGCATTGTATTGGATGGAAGAAATGCTATCCTGTCATCTTCTTTCATGTGATCATAATTTATGGTCAGTTGACAAGGCCTATTAGGTGAAATGCCCTATGAAGGAAACTATGTGAGATATTTGCAAAAAAAGTTTGATTTTTTCGTAGTTTGATGGAAGATAGGTTCAAGGCTAATTGTTTTTCCTTTGAATTTTGGTTATTTGTTTCAAGCATATTTTAGACCCTAGTCATCAATGATTGAGCCTGTCTAATTCTATTGTAATTTTTACGGGTTCTTTATGTATATCTGTTCTATTGCATACGCTGAGTGCTTATTTTGGCTGCTTGTATAATGTGTTTCTGTTCTAAATTGGTCAGTTCACCTCGTATGAGCAGTCCATCCATTCCAATGATAATCTACTTGCATGATCTTACCCATGTGCTTATGTAATATCTGCTTCCATTTACAAACACGTCTGGTGGTGGGTCGCATAAGGAGCTACAAATTAAGTATAAGCAAGATGAAATCACAGCCGCTTTGTTGATTTGTACTTGTACACTCCGAAATCTTCATTGGGATTTATATGTTGTGTTACACACTTTGAAGATCCTCTATTTAACTGATATTGAACTTATGGAAATGCCCCTTTTCTTGCAGAATGAGGCTGTTCTGAGGGCATGTGCGGAAACACCTACTTCACAATCATCAGGAGCTGCTGCCAGTGGAGTCTGTGAGAAAGATAGCACAAGTAGCCAATAATGAGGTAGAATGCTAGGCAAACTTGGAGGTGTTAGTTTGGTCATCCATGGGCCTCTAAATATCAACCATGTAACCTTCAAATGAATACTATCCTGAACCTCCGTTTTGATATTTCTATTTCTAGAGTAGAGCATTATGTACGGAAGCTTTTAAGTCATTGACTAAATACAATTATAATCATGTGTAACCGGGTTAACTCTGATGAATTTTGATGGTCAATAAGACTATTCCGAAATTGCTTGCTGCCGATGTGCATCTCAAACCTGAAGCTTATTGGTTTTATGGTACTGTTGTTGCTCTGTAGGATTGTGTCTCAGAGCACATCATTCAGTAGAGTCAATGCCAGCCACATCAGAGTCTAAAGCAGAATAGGATTGCATATTTGATAGTAGGCCTTAGGCTGAGATTGGCTGTTGGGGTTTCAGCACATCTTAAGTTGTGCATCTTATCGCTATTTTCCTTATGGCGGAAATCTCTCTAGAGCTGTCGTAATATTTACTTCTAAGTAGTGTTTGAAAAGTCCCTTCTAGAGGGAATCTTTGCACTTCCACATTCTCCTACACATGATAATACTGAATTTGTCACCGGATGATGCGTGGTCCATGTTTTATTTATAAGAAAACGGGGTTGGGATGAAATGTGGACACGAAAACTGCGGAAATAATGGTTGAAAACTTCCTTTCCAGCCCCCTTCTTGTGTTGTTGTTAGACTGATTTTGACATTAAACAAGTTGGTAAATTAGTCTATTTTCGTTTCTGTATATGTCACTATTAACTCACAGAATATCAACAGAGATACTCCAAAGCCAATCAGTGAGATGAATTTATAGTTTTGCACGCAACCATGATGCCTCTTACATGTGCGGCTTCTGGGAAAAATCTTATGTGCGTTCAGCTCATCTGTACTGTCTTGTCTTTTTTATATGACTTATTGCTGCAAGGAAATTTGAGATTTTGACAAGTTAATGCATCTGTGGGATGTTGAAATGTCTCACTTTTCTGCTGCCAAAAGGAAGCAAATTCATAATCTTACTCCATATTTTGGCACTTTACACAAGCGAAAAAAAAAAAGGTACCTTCTAGTACACAGGGGAAAAGGCAAGAAACTACTCAATTCATCATGCAGGAGGGTTGTTGCCGTCCCTTATTATCTGTCAATGAGCTCAGCACTCTAAAGTCCTTCAATGCTGAGGCAACATCTTGGATTGCCAAAGCCACACACCAAAAAAAAAGAAATTAATTAATTAATTATAAAAAAACATGGACCCATTTATTTCAACTGGGCACACAGTTCACATCTTGTGCAATAGTAGTTGGTATTAGCTTTTAAATCTGTTGATGGTGAGCTGTGGCAAAATGGCTGCCGTGTTGGGAGGTATTTCCTTTTGCCAAAGGGCACCTACCCACTTGTTAAGCGCATCAACGATCAATATTTAAAAGAAGGAAAGAAAAATAAAAAATCTTCACCCTCCACGAGATTCTCAGGCTTTGGATACCTTTTGGTTGTGTGTGTAGATGTAATTAGGTTTTCCTTTTTAATATGGGTTTTACCATTCACCTCATCATATTCATGACAGTTGGACGTAAATTATGCCAGTTAATTAAGGTATTTATAGACTCTGATTATAATAAATTAAGAGGTCCACCCACATTAATTTAATTTAAATGTGAGAGATTAATATTTTGATTTGACCATGCCATTAAAAATTCGAGATGTCTCTGTTGCATAGATACTAAGCAACCCTTTAAAAATTTCTCCCAAAAAAAAAAAAAAAACCATATACAAGTGGTTGGTTTTGGGAACTGGTCAACATACACAAATTGATAATACATTCCCTGTCTGCCTGGTAATGCTTTCTAAAATGTCAGAAATGCCCCTCCGTGACAGAGACTCAAATTGCCCTTCTAGTGTTTCTTTTTGTGATTGACCTAATCAGTTTAGCTGTGGTGTGTGGTCTACCATGACGGGCTGCCCACGTGATTGACAATTTGAGAACCCAAGTCAGCAATCCACAATCCAATCCAATCCAATCCCATCCCATCCCTCTCTCTTACATACACACAAATTTCTTCATCTTCATTTTTTTTTCTTTTTTCTTTTTTGGGGTCTGTCATGAAAATGAAATTAATATAGAGAAAAAGTGACGTGAAGAACTCCAAAAGCCTTAGGAGATTCTAAACCACTGTCACAAGAAACTCTGGTCGGCATATTTTATTTTCCCTTATCTATTAATATTATTTTTGTTTCTCCCATCTGTTTATAGCATGCCAAATTAATCAGACTGACAATCAATGGCTTACTATTATGCCGTCCTTTGTCCACCTGATGTCCACTTGGCACTCTCTCATGGGTTTCCAATCCTATCTACCCTATGATCTCATCCTCCATGTCTCATGTCTGTATAGGACAACAACCTACCTTGTAGGTTTTGTTCCATCATATTTTACAATTTTTTTTTCTCTCTTATTTTTCTCATAATCGTATTCACACATTGCCCTTGTCAACACCAATGTTACAAGCACTCATTTTTTTATCTGACAGTTGAGAAGATACTCTATCTGTTATGTTGATTGATGTCTAAAACTTGAATGAAAGGGGACGAACTCACTGATCTAGCCAACGACATTATACGCCTATGCAAATTGAGAAAATCGTTAATGATTATTGTATTATGCAAAAAAATCATAACTATGATGAGTTGTGTACTTTGTTTATGTCTTTGATAAAAATATTACTGATGATGGAGTCAACTATATCAGGCTCGTGGCTCTTGCATGTACGACACGTGTGTGTTACAGATGAACAATTTGGTATTTTTCACCGCAGTGTTTTTACAGCCATAGCAGAGCAGCAAAATGAGTGATTTGATATTTTTCTTGAGAGTGAGTTTACTTTGTTGCAAGTTGCAAGGAAAACTTGTATATAAAATGCTTCCCATCATTAACATGTTTGACAATGTGTGTTTGATAGTTTAAACTGTTGGTTTAAGAGGTACCGTTTACGTAAACAAGCAGGACTG